ATTTATTTTTGGTTGAAATGGTGACTAACCAAAAACACTTGCACTTGAGCGCCAAGTTTTTATTCTACCGAGCAATCTCACCAGTCCCTGAATTGTAATATTTTTAAACTTTCTCATTGCTATTTCTTTGTCAATTAAAGTATATACAAATGCGCTGGATTGGAAGGCTTTAGCAACAGAAAATACTTGGGAAACAGAAGAAATGTAAGTAAGAATTTAGCGATCTGCAGGGCCTACTGTATATTCATAAAATAATTGAAATATAATCAAAAAATAAAAACTTTACTCTCTCAAAATCGATGACAGTGAGGAAATAAACATATATGTAGAGTATTCCAAACTACCTAAACTGAGTAAAGAGTGTATAAAAAATCTCAAATATACAGTAAATGAGAGTGAAAATTAAACTATAGCAACAAATGTGATGTCAAAATGCCAACGTCCTAAAGGGGATACAGATGAATGTTAATTTTGCATCTGAGCATTCAAAGTCATTATGATAGATATATAATTACATGCTCTTAATAGATAATCTGATTAGATCTAAAGGTGATTTTAAATAGGTTATTATTTCTTATTTTTGTAACCAGAAAAGGAAAAAAAATGCATTGTCCTGACCTGGGTTGATTGTTCAGTTGAATAATCTCTTGCATGGCATGAGAAGGACCTGAGTTTATTCCCAGATTCTGTTAAATAAATATAAAAATTAGTAGAAATAAAGCTAGTCTTCACTGATTCACGACGGAATACTCAATAGAGTTACAGAAGACATAATCGCCATTTTCCTCAGATTGCTCAATGAATTTTAAAAGGAATCCATTTCCCTGAAATCTTTCATGGATCCAAACATTTATTGAGGGACTTGACTCTTTCCATACTGATAACAAAGCCCAATATATATGGAAATAAAAAGCAACACTATAGGCCTATCAACCTGGTAAACAGATGAAGAAACCCAATGTAAAAACCTAGCAAATAGAATATGCGATATTACAAAGGAGATTATACGCCATGGCCAAGTAGGTTTGATCTCATGATGCAAAGATGCTTTCATACATGCAGATGCATAAATATAATACACTATATCAATGAAGTCTAATCAAAAACTCGCAATCATCACAAATAATACAGAAAACATATTGAATGTAGTCTAACACTCATTAGTGATCAAAACTCTGTACAATTAATGTTTATGGCTTGTTTCTCAAATTGATGAAAGTCACCTATGATAGTCCAAATGCAAATATAATGGAGGATGGGAAAAATTGGAAATTTTACCTCACATCATGTCACAACTACTTTGCAGACAATAACCAATGTTTTATCTACAGTCCTGGACAAATATGCTGGAGTGATTATGCAAGAGAGATTAATAAAATAGTAAGAATAGATAAAGAACAATTTAAACTAACATTTGCCAATGACATGACATTCCGCTTAGAAGATGCAAAACCACAACGGAGAAGTTCCCAGAATTCATAAAATATTCAGGAGCACATCATGATAAAATCTCATTACCACCAATTTGATTTGAAACTGTCTCATTGATATTTGTTTCTGAATAAAATTATGGAAAAAAACCCTCAATATGCATGAGGCAACAGCATTCTTGTACACAAATATCAGTGTGAAACAATAGTTAGAAAGCAAAAGTACAATTTACCACATCAAAATTATATGGTTACGAATTAATATAATTGAACAAGTAAAATGCATAGTCAGTTGTATTATAATTTCTTCAATAAGTGTTTGCTGAGGAACTCAGAAAATGGACATATATTCCTTGCTGCAGAATAGGAAGAAACAGCATTGTGATGCAGGACATATATACAAATTTTTATAAAGAGATTATGAAGTCCCTATCAAAATACCAGAAGCATAGCTAACAGACCTAGCTAAAGCCTATTTATTCAAAACAAGAAAATTTCTAGAAAAGAAAAGGCTGATCTGCATTGAAAAAATCAAAGCAGTGCAAAAGCATTAACTGGCGTGAAATAATAATGCAACACTTATATAGGCACGTGAAATTCCCAACCTGGCCTGAATTAGTACATGTCCTCCAAAACCGAAGAATGAATTTTAGGAACAAACAGAGGGTGAAAGTAAAAATTTATGTGAAAGGAAAGCTTCTGTCCATTAGGGAAAGAACGGAGTCCCGAGGGTGTTGCACAGGAAGCTCTTTCCTTCAGGTTATTTTTAGAGGACAAAATCATGCTGGGGTAAGGTAGAGACAAAGGGGTCTCACTAAGGCCAATACACAGTGGGACAAAACTATGATCAACCAATGGAATTAAAAGCACCATTGCTCAGGTAAAATTTGTTATGCCTAGGGACAAATGGGGTAGCAAGTCACGTTGCAAGGTGGTGACCTTTCTGGAGTCTGTTAGTCCAAGTTTCTTCCCTACTAATGAGCAATCCTGGATGCCAACTTTAGGGAGGTCAATAATTGTTTGATCTTTAGCTTTGAGTCACACCTGGAGCATCTCCCCAGCAAGGTGTCTGGTCTTTGTCATCCCCTTCAAGGGCCTGTCTACCTACCTACAATATTTCCATCCAACTCAGGCTGCCAGCAACATTACCCCCTCTGAAGAAGGAACCTGAACGGAAGTGTGAGGACCATTGGCGATGACTGCTTGTACTCTTCATGCTGAAAGGGGTCATAATTTTTGAACAGCAGTCAGTTGTACAATTCAGAGGCTCTATCTAAAGACCCTTAATAGATAAAAGGCATTTTTTGGGGGTGGATGTATAGCTTTGAGTCTAAAGGAGACAAAATGAAAGAAACAATTAAGTATGTATGTTCCCAATAATAGTATCAACAGTATTATTATGAATACTGTCAACAAGGTTTTAACCAGGAAGATTTAGCAATGGCTTCCAATAAGAAACATAAATGTAAGATTCAAGATGCTTCAAAGTCGGAAATATCATTGATCTCTCTTTTTAATATCTTGAAGAGCTACTGAGGCAATTGCAAAAGGATCAGGAATGTACACACAACATTCAGTTTTTATGAATGCACAAGTACCCTGTAAAGCTGTTAGGACAACCAGCGCCATCCGATTTTGGAGGACAGCCTGTCTTATTAATTTTGCTTCTTCATTTAAAAGAGAGAGAACAGTTGCAGTATCGTTTAAGGCATGCTGAGTATAGATGGTTATGGCCTAAATGTATATCGTGACAACTTCTAGCCCTACAGAAGGGATAAAGATAGATGTCAAGTGATCATACCCGTGAAACAAGCTTCGGGACCATCGATGTTGCATGCTGATTAAATTTGCAGGGTTTTCAAAATTTTTGACACTCCTGACTTTTAACCAGGCAAATCCTAATGTGCATCTCCCTATTCATAAAGGGGATAACCAGGGCAACAATTTGGTTCCACAAGACCAATGAGTGCCATTGTGATTCTTCCATTTAAGGTCAAAATGATCACAACAGTCCGATGCAAACCAATCTACAGGCTGTAAGATCTTTGTATGTATACACTGTTCCGCAGAAGTACATCTCAAGTACTTCGTGGATTTAAGTTAATGAGAAAATGAGAGATTCTTTTTTCCCCAACATAAAGGGGCTTTTCGGCTGAAGTGTCCTATGGCTGGGGTTAACCATAGATAATTATCCCATATGACCGCTGGGCCAGTTGGGATACTGGAAAGAGACAGTGTGGGCTCCAGTGGGAATGATGGGCCCTCTGCCTGTCTGTCTTCTGGTCCCCTGAAATACACAAGACAATACTCACTTCCAAATGCAGTGGCAGCCTGTAATGCTTCCTGCTTTTTGGTGGAAGTCAAAGTTTGGTTTTGAATCAAAACTATATCTTTTCATTGAAGTAGATAAGTCTTTTTCAGGCCTCTAAAGATCCCAATAAACTTATCAGGATCATCGCATGGTAGCGTCTGCCTGTAATCCCAGCATTTGGGAGACTGAAAACGGGAGGTTCACTATGAGTCCAAAGTTTGTAGTGACACTTTATAGATGCTGTACTAAATAGAAAAAAAAAGGAAAGGAAAAAAGAAAAAGAATTAATGGTAGGTGTCACAACTAGTGTGAGAAAATTAACTATTGAACTTTAAAAAACAGTAAATCTCTGAGTGTGGGATGAATCAGGATTTTCATGATGGGGAATTTGATGGTGACAATGCTGGTGTACTCTGCAATGCTTGCCACACAGAGGACCTGCCTGGAGAACACCATGGAGGATTCCTTAGCAGTACAAGGGCATAGGTACTTTGGCAGGGGTTCTGCCCACTCCTTAAAGAAGAGAGTTTTCTCGGGAGAGCCATGGAGGGACAGATTCTGTACCTGGGTACCAGGCTTGTGCCAGGAGAGTGGGCACAGTTGCAGTGCAGAGAGAAGCTGCATTTGTGTGGATGAACTGCAGAACAAATAGTACTTTTAACTCAAAAAGCCCTGTCCTAGTGAGTTCCCTATTCAAACTTAAGAACTCTCAATAAATAAAGCCAAATACATTCCTGAATGACAAAGCCTTAAGTGTATCCTGAAGTCACACTGAAGCACTTATGTCAACTATAGGCCTGTGTGGTCCAGTACTGTGCCGGTTCTGATTGTCCATTTCTGACCTTGCAGGAAACAGTGAACAGAGAAATCATGAGAAAGAAGAAAAAGAACTTCTTCTTAAAATGCCTGATCTGGATGAGTAAGATACACAGTGTCGCTGAAGTGCCTAGAGGAGTATACTTAAATTCATGATGTGAAGGGAAACATACACTGCTATCTTTAGCAGTTTCATTTGGGCAATCTACAAGGCCGGTGTCCTCTTTGCAAGTGTCTTCTTAGAGATTTGTGGAGTTGTTCTGAGGAAAACTCAGGTTTCTTACTGCTGTCAGTCACTCCTGCCCTTTTGTGTGTGGAAAAGAATAAGGGAGAATTATAGTTACACTGTCTGCTTCCTCTGCGATGACTGTTGGAAGGTTTACAGATTGGAAGCCAATTTGACTAATGTCCGATTTACATAATATGTTTTTATTTGCAAGTAGACATACGTATGTAATATGTCTCAAAATTGAAAGACTAAGAAAGCATATAAACATTGAATATACAGGTTTCCAGGAGGTAGCTTGGCTATTTGTCATTTAAAGCAATGCTGCACTCTTGGGAAATGTGGACCAGAGTTATGTTTAGAAGGCTTTAGGACCACATGATCATAGCAACCTCACTCAGTGCTCTGTTGACCTGTCATGCAGAGTTCCTATTACATATATTTTAGTTTTATTTTGTCTCAGGGATTTTGAGTTTCTAATTGAAGATCAAGCAAAAGAACTGACTAAATTAAGGCAGAAGTTGGAGGAAGGGAGAGACACTGCCTCCACGCTCCATCAGAATCTCAGCAGTCTCCTTGCTGAAGACGACCAACACAGATGCCAGATGGAGAATCACAGACATATCCTCGCTGATGGTTGCAGGCTGGCCAAGTGCCTGGCCCACACACTTAGCCCAGGTAAGGGGGCCACAGGGTGTTGTTTTCTCTGACTGCCTCTTGGTGACATAATTATGAGACTATTCTCTGTATCAGTTGTCTTCATATTTCCTTTGCTTGGAGGCTTGGCAGGAAATAATGATTTGTATCACGACAGACAGGAAACACACTTGGTGGAGGCTACACTATACCAGCTGTTGCATTCCTTCCTGATAAAATGTGTGTGGTGGAGTCAGAAATATCCCTCCAGCATCTTCCCAGGAAGCAGGGTGTGGCAGAGAGAATCAAAACAGATTTCTAGCAACCTATTTCATAAATAAGATCTCTAGGTACTCTCATGCTACATATGTTGTGAATTGCGGGGTATTCAGTTGTTCCTGGATATTCATCTCCTCATCTCTAACATGCTCACAATATGTGCTGCATGATAATTGTAGCCTTGGAACAGGGAAGTTTACCAGTGTCAGTGCTGGTGGATGAGGCCATCAGAGTCACTCAGGGATTTTCCATCATGGACTTCGCATAGTAGGATGCAGTAGTGAGATATTGGGGAAACTGGAAGCCTCAGCTGGTAATAGATAGAGAAAATTTCCTTTAATTAAATGACAAAAGCTGAATGGAATTTCTTAGATAGTGCACAGAGATGCATGGAGGAGTGTGTGGCAGGGTGATTTTTCCGGTCCTTAGCAAAAGAGGTGATTGTATGAGACAGCAGTGGTGAGGGACTGTGGTGCCATCGGCCCCATCTGCCAGGACTGTCCCCTCCTAGAGGTGCAGCTAAAAGAGCCCCATGGTGGCTGCATTTCTCTGGTGTCTCTCTACTGGATTACTAAGAAGATTGCTTTTTCTCTTTGTCCAGTGAAAACTGAAGCATTCCTCTCAGAAAATGCAACAGTTTGGTTCCATTAAGGTCCTGGTTCACAATGCCAGGCCATGTGTTAAAGAGAGCATAACACCTTTCTCACCTCGTATGCACATAATGTTCATCTCCAGCCCTAGACTATGCACTGTTCTCCCATTGGGGGAAGGGCACTGCCAAATGTCTGAACGCAGTGCTTTGAATTTGGTTGCAGATAATCTACACAATGTGGATGAGGATGATAAAATGATCCTGGATTCCAGGTAAGAGTGAATGATCAGCAGCATATAAGCAAGTGTGATATCCAGTGGATTCTGTCAATGTCAAGGCCACAGGGT